ACTACTCGTACCTTTGTCAATCGCCATCTCAGATCTGAATCAGAAAACCCTAACTTTGGAACTGACCTCGTCAATGGAATTGAACACGAAATCGAAGATCAAAATCAACATCGACGCCTAATCGTAGGCTCTGATACCATATTGTGCAAATACACAAGCATGAATTGCTAATTCTAGAAGAATCTAGAAGGATGAGACGAGAGGAAGAGGATTCAACTCAAGTGTGTTGTTCTTCATTATCAGAGAGAAGAAGATGTACAAAGAGTAAAAATAAATCTATTACAGAGAGTATCGAAAATATCTACCTATTTATACAAGTAACTAATTAACCGCCTTAAGTTATAGCTTATATTCTGTACACATTAACCCCTCAACTTATAACATGCATATATGAGAATAGTTCATGGTAGCTCAATAAATATGTCTGTTGATTCTTGTTTTGACTGCATGCTTTTTGTTGTTCAAATAGAGCTTCTTGAACAAACACTAACAAGTGTGTTAGTGGGTTGGGGCGGATCCAAAATTTTAAGCTGATGGGTTCCTACAACAATCTCAAGTTAATTTATATGATAACTGGACCATTTCAGAGTTGATTATTGGTTTTGTTAATTACTTAAAGATAAGTGTATATCATGAGCTCAACACCTATTGTGGTTCATTAAAATGATAATATGTAATTAATTTTGCGAAGAATATTACTATATTTTATGAGCGGACCAAATACATTGGATTTTCTATAAAATCTCTCGCATTCATTTCAGTGTGAAGTTCTGGTTCTCGATCGATTTCTACCCTCTTCGTTTGTTTTGATTATTATGGATTTTGGAATCTCACTTTTTATGAAAACTTTTCCTATTGGTCCTCAGTGTAATGTCTTTTAACTTGAAACAAACACATGCCTCATCTAATCCGAACCTAAATGATCCCGAGGTTCTAGGTAAATTTAAAAGAAAAATATAAGGGCTCATATGAGAAGTTTTATAAAGTGCATGAGTTAATATTGATTGGCGCATATTTGAATTACGTAATAGATTGTTTTTCAATGGAGCAGCTAGTACGGGAGACAAGCTACGTACTTTCTTAATATTCTAAGATCGGAATATCCTCTATCTATTAGTATACTTGTACCGGCATTTAGACTAGCACTCTCTCCTCATTCAATCACAGTGTGACATTGAAGAAGCAAGCTCGCTCTCATTTCAAGAATCAGAGGAAGTCATTTCGTTCGGTAATGAATTCCCTATCAAAAAGAATTCTTATTTTTTCGTATAAATATCATAATCAAATTCTGTATTACTAGCTAGTATTATAGATGTGTCAGTTTCTTAGTTCTTAGCCCCAGTCTGGAAACAAGCTTACTGTCATTTCTCGACCTATTGTTTTCATTTGTCATTTTCATCATACTAATTTCGTATCCATTTAGAATTCTTCTCGACGTTGAACAACTAGCTGTCTGGACAGACTTCATAATATTGGTCGATATACTTTGAAGTTTGAACTCTTTCTCTCTCTCATCTTGTCTATTTTAATTTCTTCCCAATATTGCCTAAGAGCTTTCCTTCAATTTTATTAGTTATTTATATTCGTTAGCTGACTTCATAATAAGATAAAAAGTGGTGATACACAAATCAATTGCAGGTGCTTATAAAATAAAAAGGCATATGTTGACAAACTCTATTTAATTGTTTTGATTGAAAAATTAATGATTGATCGAGAATTGATTGTCTAAAATACTAAATTAAAAATAAATCAAAAGTTGATTATTCTTTTAGGTCTAGCAAAAACAGTAAGAAAATTGAGGTAGTTAGCACCTCTATTTGACCTCATTCTAACTAAGCTACAGTGGCGGAGCCACTCATTGGCAAGGGGACTTGGTCGAATTAAATTCTTAATTTTATGTATATATTGTTAGAATAGGTACATATATACTATACATTGACTCCCCTTGATTTTTTCGTATACTTACTTATTTATATTTTGACTCTTAGTTAAAATGTTGGATCCGGCACTGCTAAACTACTAAATAATGGGGGGTGGGGGGTTTGTTTCTAGTTCTTCATTTCAAATATTTTTATTTCGTTATATGCTCCTAACCCATATTTTAATAATTAATCAAAAGATAAAAGTTAAGAAGATGGACAAAAAGCTCCAGAATTTGGCTGCTCCTTTTAGCGGTTGCACATGTCTGTCGCTTTCAGCCACTTATAAGAAAAACTGTGGAAAAACAAAAGAGCAACCAAGAAAACCGATGATTTTTAGGCTTTTTTAAGGACCAACAACTTTGTGGTTCGTAACTGTCATTTACTTTTTTATTTTGATTCAAAATAAGTATTTATTTATATAATCAAGAAAAAACTCAATGTATTTTTTTAAAATTATCAATATATACGTATCTCTAAAAAGTCTTTTACTCCTCACATTAATTATGCTGCAATATTTAATTAAGGGTAGTTTAGTCACACTAACTACCCTTGATTATTTGTAGCGGAGCTACAATAATAGAAGGGTTGTCACTCGAACACTTTTTACATAATCTTATGATAATGTGACGATAATTTATGCGCGTAGTCTTTACAAGGACCAAATTCTCATTGAGTCTGCTCTGCGGCATCTTACATTGAATTTTTGCGAGATGGTGCTTTCAAGGTTCGAACATAGTAACATGATGGCAACTCTAAAGGTTGCGCTTAAAAATCTTATTCAAGAATCAGATGACTATTGACTATTGATTTTAAATTCATTACATTGGGATTCAAATTGTGAACTTATGACCATTATGCTATTTTCTCATGGATAATTCTTAATTTTTTTTGTTAATACTCAATAGAGAGGAAAATATATAAAGGTTCGGACATGGGACCCAATCACCGAAATTTAAGGGGTAAGATTTAAAATTAGAGATTTCTAGTCTAAACAAAAGTCGTGCTAGCAATTACTTTATTGAAATTCATATTAGGTTAGATGCTGTTTGATCTATAAACAACGAAGAGCTCAAATCCAAAATGTAACGTGTCGTGTTTAGAACAAACTTAGTCAAAATTTGCAAAATGCAAACACCCATTTTAAAAACAGGAGTACTTATGTCCATATGTTGACAGCATTTTGCTAATTAAGTATGCCTTACATTTATTTTTTCCCAAAGCATGTCTTGTTCCACTGAACAAATAAAATAAAATACGAACAGGGTATGGAGTTTCCTGGCATGTTTTAATGATTACTTACCCCTTTGTCTATTTTGTCCTTTTCCCTTAAGTTGAAAACCTTATTCAAATTGTAAAAGAACAATATTTTTTCTCGTCGTCCATAACAATTGTCTAAACTTTGGCTAATCTTATTCATAGCTTGTTTGATTAAGCTTCTTCCAGGCTAAAACTACTTTTTTTTTATTATTAAAAAAGTTTTTTTTGAAGTTGAGATATTTGATGAAGTTTTTAGTGCAGAAGAAAAAAAATGCTTTTAAATAGGAGCTATTTTTAGAAGTAGAAAAAAGTAATTTCTCCGTAAAAATATTTTTTTAAAATTATTTTTGAGAAAATACACTTTAAAACACTTTTTAAAATTTTGGCCAAACACTACTTGATGCTTACAAGTACTTTTCAAATTCATTAACCAAAAACAAATTTTCTATTTTGATATATGACTTGTTCCTGTTTTTTCTTGTAAATATCACTGCTAGATCAAAGTTACGGTCAGTCAGTCAATAAACTTCTATATAAGATAACTAATTCTATCATTTTAGAGTAAAAGTTATCCCCGAATTAACTAATACCCCAAATCAAACATAGAATAAAATTAATCTCAAAATTTATCCCGGTTTTATTATCCTCATTCCATATACCAAACGACCTCTTAAACTGAAGTGATTAGAACGCTACAAGTTGGCGAGTCATCTTCATTTCCAACTAAGCTAAGATGTAAAAGATCTAGTTCGAATTTTTTTTGGTTTTCCACCCGGGTGTCCGGTACCCACATTGGAGCCCGACTATATTCGAATTTGTGTCGGTTAGGGCCCCATTCGAGGGGTAGCGCACCCTACCAAAAATTTTTTCATACCCAGGGCTCGAACTCAAGACCTCTGGTTAAGGGAGGAGCAGTTCTATCCACCGCGTCACATCCTTTGGTGGTAGATCTAGTTCGAGTTATTAATAGGACAAACTGAAAAATCACTGCTGATTTTACATGAGTGAGTGAGATCACATGGATAGTAGATTAAGGGATGGGTTATGCATGAGTAAAAGAAAATAATAAAGAGAACTTTTTTCCAGCATTTTATTTGACACTCTTGTTCTAATCCGTTCCAAAAGATTAATACTCCATCAATTTTAATTTTTATGAGGTAATTTGACTAGATATAAAATTAAAGATAAAAAGAAACATTCTATAGGTTATTAAAGGATAAAATAAAAAATTTAACGTTAAATTATTTCCAAAATATAGAATTATGTTGTTTTGTGTTGTGTAAAATAAGAAAGTATATATCTTTGTTATTTGAAAATATTTTAAATTTATATTGTTGTTGTTGTTGTACATCAAAAAAATATAAACTATGAGTACTTTTGGTATATTTTACATTTACTTGCGTGTCAAAAGTTTTTCTTCTTTTTTTCCTTAAATTTTAAGTCCAGTAAATGTACCAAACCAATATTCGCAAGAAAAATAAAAAATGAAAGAAAAAATCTAGAGGTTCTCTCAAATAGGCAGAAAGCCGCAGCTGGTTTTAGCTTACCCGAAATTTGGGAGTATTATTATCACTTTTAGCCCGCGTCAGAAATTATTTATATTTGATAGCTAAAAAACTGTATAAAACTTGTATAGTTTTTGTATATAACATACAAAATATATATATATATATA